GTATGTATGTATGTATGTATGTATGTATGTATGTATGTATGTATGTATTTGACCCGAAATTCATAACTTCTGATTCCGTGGGCCTGAAGGGTTCAATTTTGGCAGAATTACAGCTTTTCGTATTAACAGAAGAACTTCGGCATTTTAATAAGCGACGTAGGTGAACGTAGGTGACGGTGACAGGAACCGATGACAACTGTTAAGAGAAGATAAGGGGCTTAAGGAAGCAAGAGTCACCTAACGATCAAAATTCGAAACCTTCGGTATTTACGATGTAGCTTTGTCTGTTCTGTATATTACATTCGACAACACGAAATGGTAGAGTAGGGTGAAAAAAGCGAGTGGTAAGGGCAGTGATAGGGACCCATCAGCGACAATACGATAAGCAGATGAGAATTATGTTCATTTCTTGCTATTAGATTACGACAGCTACACACCAAGTTGATGACCCAGTGAAGAAACCACTTTGCTCGATATCATTTGCGACAAACTTTATGCGACCGCCAGTTATCTGGAATTCTCAATTAATGATATCTCTGTAAAGAGGTCAATTGATACATCTGATGGTGGTGTTATCATCACACGAAACATTTGTGAGTACAGCCCAAGGCTTTGTTACATAACACTTGAATCTTCATTGGGTATTTATCTTTAAAAAAGAGAGCAAGAGATCGAGACTTCCAACTAAAGGAGTGAGTGAGAACACTGAATGCCATTTGCACTGTTCCGTTAGTCCTGTGTCAAACTTCGTGCACAGGAAAATAATATTTGTTTCAAAGAAATAGTGGAGGGTCAGCAGATTACCACATCTTTGCTGAAGAAATAGTGAAGCCCGGCTATGCCGGGCGAACCGAATTTATATAATAATTAGTCAGAGATGGTAAAGAAAATTTTTATTGGGTGCTATTCCCAGAATCGTTGGCGATGTTCGCTCCTCCAAGAATGCCGCTGGGGATTGATCGCGGACATTCGAATGCTGGCGACAGGCCCCGTGACAGGCCGGTCTACAGACACCCACATCACATCAAAACGTCAATGCTACTACATGAATCTCGATGTTATGTTGTTACTTACAAAGCCCGGCGAGTGTGAAAAGCGTGCGAGGTCTCCGATGCAGGGACACTATCGGGAGGCAATTAGGTTCGTCCAAAAGTCCCGCAACGTACACAAGACTCGCACAGCGACGTCAAATGTTGCCACATTATCGGGAGCTCGTACCAATTAGCCAGAGCTCTATAGCGCCGACGAAACGATTTTTGTGCCGTGCGAGAAGCGAGGTGATGCTGCTGCAAGTCAAGGGACGTTGGCCACGGATTCAAAGCCGTTTTCTGTGATGATTCCCAAATCACAAACGGCGTCGGGATGATTGTCACCGAACACTTTCGTGATTTGATAGTAAGCGTGGAACACTTCGATGACCGCTTAATGAAGATAATGCCATCGAGCGCTAGAAACACAATTTTTTCGGCGCATGCTTCGCAGACTGGATGCTTCGAGCAAACCAATGACTAGTTCTGGAACCTGCTCGAAAAAAGAAAGCTGAGGTACCGTTACAAGAAGACTGTGGCCACGAGGGTGACACGACAGTTATAGCTGTATTGATGGTTTTGGATATGGGTCGCGTAATACTGATGGCGAGCGAACTCTTGAATATACAGACACCCATTCAAACACAAAATTTCGAAAAGTTAACCCTCATCTAACCACCTTCTATAAACAGAAAACAAGTTGTTTTTGTCCTCGTCACGCTCCGCGGCCAGGAGCTCGTAACAGGCGAAGACAGTACCTCATGAAGTACCACACAACACCGACCGCTGATTTGTACGCTAAAGTTGACTCCGTCGAAATTAGCCGTAAGGCGTGGGCCAACGCGAATCAAGCGGTGCGGCTGAAGGAAAAAGAAGCGACCGAAGAAGAAGAAGCGAAGGCTGCTCATTTTGCTAATTTCAACGAGAAACTCGAGTCTCGCGATGGTGAGCGGTACGTTCACCATCTCGCAAAGATTCGTCTTCACCAGGCGGAGGAGATAGTAAAGTTCTTTAGCATAAATGTCGAGAACGGTCACCTCTTGACATATCGCAAGCAAACGTTGAAGCGATGGCGGAGCATTTCGAAAACATCTCACCAGTCCAATTTACTCATCCCATTAGAAGATAACGGTGAAGGAGACCAGCAGGGCTATGAAGGGGATCAAATCATGGAAAGCTACTGGTTCTGACGATTTAGCGGCGGACTTGTGGAAAACAACCAGTTCGTTACAGAGATGAACGTGTCTGAAAGTAGGCAATCGAGCATGACGGTCCTCATCAGTAAGAAGGGTAGTCTCGGGAACTGCACTTGCTACAGTCCAATTCGCCCGCCCTCGTACAGCATGAGAATCCGAGTGAATTGTAGACAGTCGTATTTGCGACATCGTCGAGCCGACCACCAACCATTGTGGTTTTGTGCCTGGTTGCAGCACCATCGATGCCATACACGCCGCTCGCTTTTTATTAGAAAAGCATCGTGAAAAACAGAGATGGGTACATCTCGCCTATCTATGCTTGGAGAAGGCTTTCGATCGCGTTCCGCGTGACGCTATATGGTAAGGGTTACGGAAGCACGGCGTTCCCGAAGAGCTTATTGAGTGGGTGCGCATCCTTTGCTCTAGTCCAAGAAGCCGAGTGCAAACGCAGCGGGCTCAACGAAGGATTTCCCCATCGTTGTTGGAGTACACCAGTACTCTGCGTTATTCCCAATACTATTTTTTGCCGTCATGGATGCTATTGCAAAAGTTCTCCAAAGCCGATTCCATGGATGCTTCTTTATGCCGACGACTCGCTCGCCAGCCAAAACAAAAGCGCGCTCGAGCAATACTTACAAATTAGGGCCAATCGCCTGGCTATGGTCGGCTCAGATTAAATGTCAAAAAGTCTGAGTACTACCACCGATCAAGCGAGCCAAGCTCTATAGAGGTCAATGGTACTGAGCTCAAAGAACAACGACATTCAAGCACCTCGGATCGGCAATTGCTTCTAACGACAGCCTGGTTTCCGAGTTCTCGCGTGAATGCAGCGCGGTTGAAGTGGCACTCGATGACTGGCGTGCTCTGCTACAAGAACATGCCTGAACGTGTCGAATCCAAAGTCTACAGAGCCATAATCTGTACCCGCGATTTACGGCGCTGAGTGTTGATCTGATGGAAAAGAAGACGCTGCAATAGGCAGCCAGAAAAGCACGGCTAGACTGCACTGGTAATCAGAGTTCGATGTGTAGCGCCGATTATCGCTAAAATGCGCGAAACCCATCTCCGATGGCATAGTCATACTATGCGCGCGAATGACGACAGGGTCGGTTAAATAGGTTTCATTGTTGCCTGTTGCCTGGAAAGCGGACCAGAGGGCGTTTGAAGCAGCGACCGCTCATAGGTGCGCGAAGACTTGAAATCGCTTAACATTCACTCCGACCAGGCGTTTAATCGGGAAAAATCATGTCAACATGTCAAAAAAGCGGACCCCAATTACAAGCGGGACAGACGCTAAAAAAGAAGACTATTGTCCGCAATTCTAAAATGTTAGAGGGTTCAGTACATAGCCAATATTTAGGCTTAGCAGTTGCTTTACATTTAAAAGGAAAACAAGCGCATGCATCAAGGACCCAGCCTTCGCGTCATGCCTACAAGTCCACCGTCCTACCAGCTTCGGTTATCTATTCGGTAAAGGAGATAACACGGTAAAATTGATCTGTAACTTGTTCCCAAAACGGTCAGCACGTTCGGAACACAGCTTGAAATCAGCGGGAAAACACCCACGGCGGTATACATGTCATCTTGAATGGGCTCTCCGACCAAGTATCCTGCATATGTAATTTACGCCGCGGGACGTCGGCTCTTTTCGTCGATGAAACTAGGTCACGCCGCACAATTGAGTGCAACTTGGAATGCGCCCTTCCCATAAATGAATGAGATCCGTTTGCAGAAGAAGCTAAATGAAGTAGAACAAAGCTCGTCGAGTTTTCCTCCATGTAGGAAATAGAGGAATTAGAAAATGAGGCAGAAAGGCGATGAGTTAAAGAAGATTTCCTACTAGAATCGTGCAGAACCGCTGCAGCACTGGTGCTGTGTTCAAATGTCCGCGCGTGGTGAAATAATTCAAACCGCAAAATCTCTGCACGGCTCAAACTTGCCATTTCTGAATCGCAGCGGGCTGCGCACGCGAGGCGTGCAGCGTGACCCAATTTCATCGGCGATGAGAAGAAAGCGCACCCGAATTCGGCCACCACTTTCCTTTGAATATCAACACCTAAATAAGAAGTAAGGCAGCGGAAGGAGCCAAATAGGAACAGGAGTTAGCTTCAAGTCAGTTAGAAAGTTTCAACAGCTGATGGAGACCAGTATGCACACCTATGGAAGATGCGTTTTACGTAGATATGTGCGTAGAAACGCCCCTATCATGAGTACCCCGGGTAACGGAACGGACGCGACACGCCGTTGGGGGGGGGGGGGGGGG